AAAAAAAAAAAAAAAAAAAAAAAAAAAAAAAAAAAAAAAAAACGGTGCACGCAAATGAAAACAGTGTTAAATAACCTAACTTTTTCAAATTTTAACTGAAATAATAAGAAATAAATCTTAACAAGCAAATGATGTACTGCTTCGGCAACATACCGCTCTGGTGTGGGGGTACGCTCACTGGCAGGACTTCCTTCGCTGCTCTTATTAGAGTTATTTGTCTATATAATATAAACATGGGGGAAAACGTTAGTTGGAAAACAAAATATGACTTCTAAATTGTTATTGGACATCATTCTTTCTGCGGTATTATAGCATTTTGTTCAAACGTTTGCATTTAATAGACTTTAATTGTTTAGTTGTTTTTACTAACAAACGTTACTTGAAAAGGTTACTTGATAAAGAAAAGGAGTAAGAAGTGAGTTCATTTAAGCCACAGATATATACAGACTTGACATTTAATATGGAATATTTCAGTTTCGAAGGTATGCGTNAAGGAATAATCTGAGAACCACTTGACTATCATTTGATAGGGGGCACCTTAGGAACAATTTTAGGTTGCACGGTGGAATTCCCGGTACACACATAGCACTTTTAATAGCAGATTACTTACAAAACCAAGGGAATGAGCAGCTACCTTGGTAATCAAAATCGCCATATTTGAACCACATAGACAATATGTGGGTAGGCCATTACTCGCCGAATCAATGGCCTACATGTCCTACAACAAAACTGGACCAAATTGGACAGATTTTGACCGATGCCTGGAATGTTATTCCAGATTGAACTCTAAAAACCTAACCCAAGGAATGCCTTGCCACTTAAGAGCGCTGGTAGCAAACAGAAGAGGTCAAGCGTAACAGCGACCGTTACTGTGACTAGACACTGACATGGGGGTTCTTTGTGAGGCGTGTATCTCTTTTACAGAAAATTATTTGGAAAATATGGAGATCCAAAATATCTCCTTTAATTGTTGTCGTATGACATAGAATAGGCAATGTGTTTTTGTTTGCTTCTCTGGCGAATTCCATTAATGGACTGATGTCAAAATGATATCAAAGAGATAATTGAAAGTTATTAAAACACGATTTTAATATTTATTTTCATTTATCAGTCAGCAAAATAGAAAAAAATTGATGAAAAATGATTTGGAAAAAAATATTCCATATTAAATGTCAAGTCTGTATATAATGCATTGAAAATAAAAATAAGAAAGCAAAACCCATATTATATAACGTACCTCAATTGGACCCTTTGGAACCCCATATTCCGGCTCTTCAGCTCGAGCGGATGGAGCAATCCTTCTGCTCCGACGGCGTATACGCAATGCGCTTGCTGCTCGAGACGCTACATTTCGAACACGTTTACGGGCGCGACTTAGTCTACCTTCGTTTTCTTCGGATTCTTCCATTAAATCAAAATAACTTGATAAAAACTCACAGTTTCATAAATTACGAACATCGCCATTGGCTTTGATATTGTAACTAACGTTACGAGGGTGATGCCGTTACGCGGTTGTCACTTATGACGTCATAGAAAGTGAAACGGAAGGGCAACAAAGGAGTAACGTTTGTTGGATTGCCCATTACGTTTAACGACTACTTATTTGTAAAGAATCATGCCAAATTAGATTATTTAAAATGATTTTTATTTATTTATTCATCCTTTTATTTATTTATTTTGTCAGTTATCTGTTAAACAAGCAATCTCTGGTTTTATTTCCTAATTACTATAGATAATTATTTGTTATAATTTTTGTTTTTTTATCCAATCCCTACCAAATATTTGAAGAACTTTTGCAAGTTGGGTCATTTTATGCTATTGTTGTTTATTATTAATTTTTTTACATTGCTATATCGTTATCAATTAATGAGAGGTACTATACGAAAAAGACTGTATCATAAAATTAAAGGTCCGATGCGTGTCAGTTGCTTTATTTTCAGACCTTCATTTGTACCTACTCATCAGGCTACAAGGTGCACGAAAGCTAACCGCGTTTTTTTCTTTCTTTCTTTATTTCTTTTGATTGCCGAATTCTGCGTGCTACGCCGATTTAATATTTGTGTAGTGGTGGTGAACTTGAGTCAAACGCCTCTGAAATAATAACCACACCAGTAAATTAAATATAAAACATCATTATAACATATGAGGAAGGAATTTAATTTAGATAATTTAATTCAGTGCATATGTATAAAACAGATAACAACAGAAATTAACATTTCAAAAAATATATTGACTGTTTAAAATAAACACAAAAAATATGTAACGCTTGATAATAAACAACAGCAGGTTACATTTTAACAATGTTCTCCATATTAGATTAATTTATTTTCTAAATGTTCGATTGTCCAATTTTTTAAAAGAAAATTCATGTCTTTACATTCCGTTGGTCAAGTTCTTAGTAACGTTCTCAATACCTGCTATCCATTAATGAGGAGAACATAAATAGTCATTTTATAGCTATGAACATGTCAAAGATGAATATAGATATTTATAAGTTAATCGTGTGCGTAGTAATTTGATTTTTCTTAACAGCTTAAACACCTTTATAATGCCGTCCAAATTTATGTAATCTACTTTTGGTATGTTTATATTTCTGTTTCCCATCCACTGGGCAGTCATCCGTATTTTCAGTAAACTTTGAGGCATACCACGCTAGATCAGATCAGCAGGCTATTACTGCATCACTAACGTCTCCGAGTTTTTCCTTTTCCTCTCTGAGTCGACACATGCGAAATACCACACAGCTAAACCCAATAGACTATCTCACCACTCGGTAGCTCATCCATGATTTCCTCTCTGAAATAAGAATATGACATTGGAGAAATAGAATATATGCGTAATTAAATGTAGCTATATTGTTTTACCATTTGAGACTGATAATTCTATTTGATAAAGTTTAACCATCAATAATATTTATCATGATGGACACTGTAAGGGCATGTCTCGCTGCCAAGAAGAAAAAGAAAATAAAATCCGCGAGGATAACATTTCGTCTATCATCTTAACTTCACCGACAGTGTTTTTCGGACCGTGACTCTGAAGCATATTTCATTTCATTAAATGAACGAAACATTTGCAGACTCCACTCATTAAATGAACAACATATGCCAATACTCACTGTGACGGAACAATTTCATCTCACCTTGGACGCAATAGATCAGCCAAATGCGTTTGTCCACTGCTCTCTAGATGTTTGTGGAATATGTAAAAAGCTCTGTCTTCTTTGTTTTTCAAAATGTCCAAAAACTCCTCAACCCGCTCTTGCTGTGTGGCAATTTTCGTTATATTCTCCTTTTCTCTGGGCAAAAAAATGGCTTGTGCTGTAAGACTATTCAGTACCTCCAGAAGGCACTGTTCAGTAACCGACTGAACCAACGTCACCCTGTTTCGCCGCAGTCGGTCTTTGTTTTCTTTCAGCACGCCGTCTCTCCCTTATAGAAAATAAATAAGGACATTTAAAGAAATACACAAGTATACCCTATACGCACTTGGCTACATCTCTGTGGGGACTCGCTTTAAGTGCAATCAGTTTAGCTGAATTAGGCGCCTCCTCTTGTTTCCAATGAACTCGTATAATCTCCATGTTTTCTGTATTCTACTTTGCGCCAAGGAGCGGGGGGTGGAGTGTCATTCAATTAAGCTGATTGGACTCTGAGAGTGTCCCCGCATATTTGGATCGATCTACGTGGACCGATGGTGTCAATGGGAATGGGGTTTTAGTTAAATGCTAAAGAATACTTGATCTGTAAAATTTAAGGGATTTCCTACTTCTAACCAAAAGTCTCATCTCTGTATTAAACTTAACTCCTCACGGCGATGATCGATTGTGATTAGATATGCAGTCACATTTTAAGGACACTGGTGATGTTGGTAGTCACATTGTTCCAAAACCATGACTTTAAAACAATACATTGAAAAGAGACCCCTTTTCAGTTGTAAACAAGATAGATTTGAGTACTGTACCTGCCAGAGCTGGGTACACGTGCGTTGCGCTGATAGTTTGAGGGGGCGCATTTCTGCATGGTAAGACCTTCACGCGTGGAACGTAGTCTGGTTGGTCCAAGATGTCTCCAGGAAAAAGGGTGGGGGAGGGGATGCCTTCTTCAATGCAGTGTGGACACAGCAGGTGCTTGCTGTAGAAAACACCCGGCCAGTCATTTTTCAAAATGTCGACGAGGTCTTGATGGAGCTTGAGCAGGATGTCCCACATGGCGAGTCGATCTTTCCCTCTGACATTTGTCGTGATTACCCAGTCTCGCTCTTCGCTGTGACGCGTAAGGAGAATTTTACAACGGCTGGTGACTGCATAGACACCATTATTCCAGTCGATGCGTCTTCTGTCGAACATATGAAGATACTTGTGGATTCTGACTGAGAGCTTTTCGAACACGTCGCTTGGACATCGGTGGGGTGTGTGAATCTGGAGGGTCAACTGTAGAACCCCCCTTGGCAATCTGGCCGGCCACTTGCCCGAACTCTCTAAGTCACATGGTTCATTCTGTTGTAGTAAACATGGGAAATGGAATGCGCCGGTTCTTTTTGCTACAGATGCATCATCCACAAAATAGCTCAGGTCAAGCTTTGTCATAAGCTCAATCATGGCATCCCTTTCAATGCCAGGAACCCCAAAGGACTGCCAGAGAAACTCCATGACATCCTCGTCAATAATACCCCTCATCTCAAGGTTGTCTACTATCTCTTCAAATTTCTGTTTGGTGTAATTTTCCTTCAGAGCCTTCTTTTTAACCTCAAAATCATGGTGTAGGACGGATTTGAGGAGATTGATTAAGACTTCCGGCTTGTGGAATATGACTTTTCCGAGAGCTGTATTGGAATCAAACCACACTACTTCACCAGTATTTGACATATAATTAAGGACATCTTGCACCACATATGTCACTTGTGCTGGAGAAATATCTTCGTCGTCTTCGTGAGGGGTTTGGGGACCACTTGCCACTTGATTTATTTCCTCGGCTTCTTCATGGAAGAGACTTGTGCAGCACATCATTCTTCTTACGATTCGCGAAATCTGGTTTCTGTTTTCTTCCTCTATGGAAACGTCTGCCTGGCGTGCACTTTTCTTTTTTCTACGTGCAACCTCAACTTTTACAATTTCTCTGACAACCCCCTCTGTCAGAGTGTTGGTTGTAGGTTCAAACTTCATCCTCTCTATTTCATTCNCCAAAAGTCTCATCTCTGTATTAAACTTAACTCCTCACGGCGATGATCGATTGTGATTAAATATGCAGTCACATTTTAAGGACACTGGTGATGTTGGTAGTCACATTGTTCCAAAACCATGACTTTAAAACAATACATTGAAAAGAGACCCCTTTTCAGTTGTAAACAAGATAGATTTGAGTACTGTACCTGCCAGAGCTGGGTACACGTGCGTTGCGCTGATAGTTTGAGGGGGCGCATTTCTGCATGGTAAGACCTTCACGCGTGGAACGTAGTCTGGTTGGTCCAAGATGTCTCCAGGAAAAAGGGTGGGGGAGGGGATGCCTTCTTCAATGCAGTGTGGACACAGCAGGTGCTTGCTGTAGAAAACACCCGGCCAGTCATTTTTCAAAATGTCGACGAGGTCTTGATGGAGCTTGAGCAGGATGTCCCACATGGCGAGTCGATCTTTCCCTCTGACATTTGTCGTGATTACCCAGTCTCGCTCTTCGCTGTGACGCGTAAGGAGAATTTTACAACGGCTGGTGACTGCATAGACACCATTATTCCAGTCGATGCGTCTTCTGTCGAACATATGAAGATACTTGTGGATTCTGACTGAGAGCTTTTCGAACACGTCGCTTGGACATCGGTGGGGTGTGTGAATCTGGAGGGTCAACTGTAGTAGTACCCCCCTTGGCAATCTGGCCGGCCACTTGCCCGAACTCTCTAAGTCACATGGTTCATTCTGTTGTAGTAAACATGGGAAATGGAATGCGCCGGTTCTTTTTGCTACAGATGCGCCATCCACAAAATAGCTCAGGTCAAGCTTTGTCATAAGCTCAATCATGGCATCCCTTTCAATGCCAGGAACCCCAAAGGACTGCCAGAGAAACTCCATGACATCCTCGTCAATAATACCCCTCATCTCAAGGTTGTCTACTATCTCTTCAAATTTCTGTTTGGTGTAATTTTCCTTCAGAGCCTTCTTTTTAACCTCAAAATCATGGTGTAGGACGGATTTGAGGAGATTGATTAAGACTTCCGGCTTGTGGAATATGACTTTTCCGAGAGCTGTATTGGAATCAAACCACACTACTTCACCAGTATTTGACATATAATTAAGGACATCTTGCACCACATATGTCACTTGTGCTGGAGAAATATCCTCGTCGTCTTCGTGAGGGGTTTGGGGACCACTTGCCACTTGATTTATTTCCTCGGCTTCTTCATGGAAGAGACTTGTGCAGCACATCATTCTTCTTACGATTCGCGAAATCTGGTTTCTGTTTTCTTCCTCTATGGAAACGTCTGCCTGGCGTGCACTTTTCTTTTTTCTACGTGCAACCTCAACTTTTACAATTTCTCTGACAACCCCCTCTGTCAGAGTGTTGGTTGTAGGTTCAAACTTCATCCTCTCTATTTCATTCATCACATCCACCCAGGCCTCAGGGAGGACGACTCCTCTCAGCTTGGCTAACTGAACCAGGTACGCCGATAGGTTCTCCATTCCAAACATATCGGCTGAGCTGATCGTGAAGATGTTCACATGGGAATTGGAAAAATATGAAACCCTTCTCCCTTGAAATGCGTGTGCGTCAACTCTGTTTCGTAACCATTCCATGTTCCAATCCGCTTGTTGTTTGAAACGATGGCGGACATCTTGACACAGCATGTCAGGATCTCTATCACCGACCAGGTCGTGGTGAGTTCCTACAATTATGATGTAGATACCAGGTGCTCTGCACTGGACTGTTTGTATCCATTCTCCAATATGTTTCATATAGTAGTTGTCCTCGCACTGATACTGAGACAGGTTGAAAGTGATGATGGCAACTCCATTTTTATGAAGAAATATAGGATAGCCCACTCTGTATACATCGTGACCCCCAAAGTCGTTGATATTGAAAGCAACCTTACTGTCCGGTTCCCATGACCCTCGCTCAATCACCTGGGTCCTGTCTGCTTCGGATGTCAGCGACGATTCTCTCCTTTGAAGAGACCTGGATAAGCTACTTTTGCCACTCCCTGTCACCCCAAGTAAGTTCAATTGTAGCCTGCTCGTCACAACGGCCCTCTCACCTCTCACCTCTCACCTCTCTCAGATAGCGAAAAATGGCGCCTTTCCCATTCTGACATACCGCCTCTGGTGGCTGTGTTAATGGATTTGGTATGACGTAGAGTTCTGTTAGGGCTTTCAGATGCAGGAACTGATACGGTAGGCAGCTCACCATGTTATGTCGTATATCGAATATTTTCAGTGTCTGCAGGTTTGCAATATTAGGGGGAATTGACGAAATGTTGTTGTCTGCTATGTGCAGTGTCTCCAGTTTTTCACAATGGCATAATTCGACTGGAAATTCAATTAGTTTGTTGCTGGAGTTTTCAGTTCATCTATTTCCTTTATCTCAAATGGTATACGGTCTATTTTATTCTGACCAATATCCAGATTCTCCAAACTAAACAGGCTGCATAAACTGGTTGGAAAAGTTGAAATCTGGTTATGAGAGATATTAAGGGTTTGCAGTCTGGTCAAACGTCTTATACTTTTGGGAATGGTGCACAAATGATTTGCCCTCATGTCAAGATATTCTAACTCATAAAGATCACACAATGCACCTGGAAGTACATCAATCATGTTTTTCTGTATATGCAGCGTTTTAAGACTGTCCATTTTGCTAACAGATGAAGGGATGATGCGGATCTTGTTACCGCTGATATCGAATATTTGCAAGGCGGGAATGTCACAAACGTGAGTTGGAAATTCCTCGAAACGGTTATCATTGACCTTAAGAATCGTCAAGTTTGTCAGCGTGTTGATGTCAATAGGAATAGTACTAAGCAAGTTGTGACCGATGTTAAGCTCTTGTAAACTAGGCACATTAAACACCTGGAGAGGGAATTCTGTAAATTTGTTGCTGGATATGTCCAATACTTTGAGATTCCAAAATGTAGACAGGGGCATTTTCAAGACTTCTAAGTTTGTCTTAGACAGCTTAAGGTATTGGAGATTACTAGATTCACTGATGTTGGATGGCATTAAAAAATCCAAATCCAGCTCTATGGGCCTGGAAATATCTTTTGAGTTGTTACGATCTTTTGGCTCCTCCATTTTTGCAATATATGTCGTCGTCGTCCATATATTTCTCGTCTTTTTAGATATCCAGATTTTATGCAGATCGCCGACTCGTCTTGACAATAGTCGAAATGATGCCTTATTTATGCTCGCTGTTTTTGATATTTTTAATCAACCCCAGTAAAAATGACCAGTAGAAATGTTAATGTTATGTCAGGATCTCATGTGGCAACATCTTTGATAAAACGCGACGAACGCGTTTAATTTGGGCATAATCATCATCTCTTGTCAGAACGCTTGTGGCTCATTTTGGGGAGTGTGATTTTTGTGGTAACACTCGGTGTGAACTTTTCAAGACGACACATGCACCACGTCCATGAAACCCTGTTCTGGGTGGATGGTTACCTTGAAAAATGAAATACTGAAGTTAACTGATGCTTTGTAAATATATTGTAAACAGTTTATCAATATCATGTTTATTCAAAGCATTCGGCAAGTAAGAAATTGATCAAATTTCAATCTTTCGAGGATTTCGTCAGCTCTTTTGCAATTTAGTCATAGTAACAGATTGTTTTAATCAATGAATATTAAACAAGTCAATTTTAGAGTATTGTAAATCTCAGGTAGAGCTGACCGTACTAGTCACGTTGTTAGACTAACTTTTTATGTTACTAGGAAATATTGTTTAGATTTCTTTGTAAAGTCCAAATTATCTTAATTCATAGATATTCAATTACTTTTTGAATTAAAAAATTGAATGATCACACTTCCGTGCAACATTTTTTTTTTATTTGAGCTCCTGCATTATATTTTATTTGAGCTCCTTTTGATGTTGGATGGCAACGTTAACGCGTTTCCAGTTGATTTTCCAGATCTGCGTATTTCGGTATGTCTCCCCTTTTCTCCACGAGCGATAAAACAGCCTACACCTAAATAAATTACCTTTCTTTTACAGTAAATACAACTATAGGCCTAGTGCTCAAGTCACACTTCAGACACTACACCATAATATATATGTTTAAGAACTAACTTCACAACTTTACTGGCACGTCAAGAGTAGAGATAAAAACCACCCAGCTGAGCAGGTATTTTATCATTCTACATTGCAACTCGTTACACATTGTTTAAATAAGGTGAAATTGTGTACAGAGGGATCACTTCACCCCAAGGTTTTGATACATATGCAGCAATGCTTGACCTATTTGTTTAACAGATAACCTATTTAAACCGCGATCCTCGATGTTGAAAAGACTTCTGTTGTAATGTTACGTATAGTCCAGTGGCTTAAGGTAAAAATCGTGACACGTCGGATAAAAGCACCAAGTTTGGCATGTGGTTACCTTCTGACATTCTAAATCAAATAAGAGCCGTAGCCCTCGGGAAAAATTTACCGTTTGATAAAAAAATCCAAAATGGCCGCCAATTTGTGGAATTATATAGAAATATATACACACCTATGTTGATTTTTATCAAATAAAGTATTTTCCCAGATTTTTCCACATCCATATTACCCATATTACGCATATATGTCAGATAGCAAACGAGTGTCCTTGTACTTTTGGAAAAATCCAAGATGGCCGCCGTATGGCATAGGAATATGTACAGTGTACAAGGGTTTTGAACTAATGCCAACTAGGAAGATGCAATGTCCACTGTCTAATTAATTTTGTTTCTTAGTGTTTTCCACATCCTTATTACTCAGATAACATATTTCTGGTGAGTAACTAACCTAAGCATTTCGAGAAAATCGAAAAATTGTGTAAAACACAAAAACAAACTGAATTTGAAAGCGGATAATGTTCTTTCCTAGCTGTCATTAGTTCTAACCCTTTGCACTACTAGAAATTTCCTTTAGCATATGGCGGCCATCTTGGATTTAATACAAACGCCCAAGAATACATTTTAGTAAGTCACCACATTCATATTATGAGGGTGGTAAGGATGTGGAAAACACTCAGAAACAAACTTAATTTGATAGTGGAAATTATCTTTCCAGTTGCCATTAATTGAACCCCATCTACCGGTACTATTATTCCTGTGGCACATGGCAGCCATCTTGGAATTTCCTACTTGTTAGTTACTCACCACATACATATTATGCGGGCAACAAAGATGTGGAAAAATCTCAGAAACAGACTTAATTTGACAGTCGACAACATATCTTTCTAGCTGGAATTAGTTGTGCACTTGTATTCCTTTGGCTGTTTCTATGGCATATGGCGGCCATCTTGTATTTTTTCAGAAAGTCCAAGGGAACTCGTTTGCTATTTGACATATATCCATAATATGGGTAATAAGGATGTGGAAAACACTGAAAAAATACTTTATTTGATAAAAATCAACATAGGTATGTATATATTTCTATAGAATTCCACAAATTGGCGGCCATTTTGGATTTTTGGACCAAACGGTAACATTTTTCCGTGGGCTATGGCTCTAATTTGATTTAGTATGTCAAAAGGTACCCACGCGCAAAATTTCATGCATTTATCCGCCGTGTCACGATTTGGCCATTTTTTTTTTTTTTTTTTTTTTTACCCTAAGCTACCGGACTAGTACAACTGCAATAGATAGCGGCTGTTACATGACCTAATACAAGGACAAAGCATGACATGCCAGATTTTAATTATTTAAAAGCAATATTTTCACATTCACTTGTTATAAATATAAGGAAGAACGCAAAACCACTGTCAAATTTCAACTGGGGTTTACTGAGAACATGGGAGTTGCTATCGCACACGTGTGTGTTAATGAGTCTAATTATAATTGACTCTCACTGTACTTACCGTCGACACTATCTCCTTTTCTGACTATTTAGGAATCCAGTGTTCTCTTACTGCATGTTTTGAGCTTGTCTTAAACTGACCTTTTGTGTGGAGTTTCAACTGCAAGCAAGGAGTGAGGCTTTCAATCGAGATTTGGACTACCACTTGCTCGGTGTTCGCCTAGGTGTACGGGGTGTACGAAAGGTAACCAGATTCTCATGTACACAATGTACCTGAGTTTTTTTGTTTTTTTTGACATTTAAAAAAATGTAGAACGCATCTAGATCAAAGTATTACGGCGGATGATAATTAAGTAAAGTTTGTCGAAACCAGGGATGTTTACCATAGGCATATTTTAGTCTGTTTGCAATTTCTCTCACTGAAAACTCTAATGCCGACCAAGTTAATAAAAAATGAATAAATGAATAAATAAATAAATAAAAAAATTAAAAAAAAAAAACGCCACCTACTTTAATCTACACTTTACCTTTCTAATAATAATAATAACAATAATACTAAAAATTATTATTAAGAAACAAGAAACAATTAAAGGATTACAAACATGCGTCTCTGCACCTTACCCCGTTTAAGTGTCGCGGAACATGTACATGTACATCCTTGGAGATATCGTGGTCTGGCAACCGTAGATAGCGCGGAAAACAGTCCAAAGCCTTGGACGGGAATTGGGGGGCGGTTACCCATAAAACGTAGAGTGGATAGTAAATAAATAGTAAAATAATTGAGAAAAAAAATACAGAATAAACGATAAGATTTTTGCTCTGGCTGACAGAGTCGGGATACCAAGAAGAATTTGGGAACAAGTACGGCGTAAGTTCATCCTCCATATCCCAAACCCTGATAATCAGTGTGGAATAAGAACTGATAATATCTGGGTCTCAGAACATGCCCCAACCCAACGACCTTCATTGAGATGGTACATGTACAGTGGGGTACGGGGAAATTATAAAAAGTGGGACTCCCAACCCCATTAACTAATATGGTTCAGATTCCACCTACTGCCTTCATTTGTTCATTTTCATTTCACCAAGCCACACATCAGATATACTAGTATATAATCTTACTACATGTACGCGGTGCTGCGTCATTCAATTATGAAGACTGTCGAAATAAGAGGGGTCATGTTTGAACAAGACAGATACATATTTTCAGGCGATGTTTTGAAGATCGTATACAGGTGTTGCGCTCACACATGGTTGACTTCATTGCGTTATTGTGTTAGATGCGAACGTGCGCTATAAAAGTACTTCATGAATTAGATCATGTTTTTTTTAAAGCTGGAACGACAGGCCCGTAGCCAGCAATTTCAAAAGGGGGGTTCTTTTTCTGAAAAAGTGGACCTTTTCCCATAAAAACTTGATGTACCTTGATCAAATTGTAATCAGAGTGGACCTTTTCCCAGCAAAAGGGGCGGTTCTTTCGAACCCCTCGAACCCCCCCTGGCTACGGGCCTGAACGATATTGCTGTTGTGATGTATAGCGAACTGTAGATGTACTTTTTCACACAGCTTGGAACCGATTTCACGTTTATACTAAGAATCGTCATATTTCATTTTCAACGACATACGATTTTTCTGCATTTCAATTGTATACATGTATTAGCTTTTACATGTATAAAATCAACATATACTAGTTGGAACTTGATAAACAGTACAACAAATTAACTGTAATTATTATAAGCCAGATCGATCTATTTAATACAGAACATATAAATTTAATCAAATATCTTTCCAGAAAGTTCTTGTGGGAAAATCCATCAATAACAAATCTTTTTTATTATTTATGAGGAGTATACATGTACATCAGGGTATGAATTTAAAATGAAACATCAAATATTTGGTAAAAGAATCTTATCATTAACAGAATCACAAGATCTTTTTTATCACTTAAGTCCTATTTCCAAGCTTAAAACTCGCTTTCAAAGTTTGTAATAATGCATTGTGTTCTCAAAAGTCTGAATAAATATGAATCCGTATTTAACAGTGTATATTAATTAAATCTAAAAATCTGAATACACTAGGCAAAGATGATTTGTCTCTAAAACTGATTTTTTTTCATTAAGTCAACCTACATCTACTAGTATATATATCATTTTTCAGAAAAAAAAGTGATTCAATTCAATATGCAGTGAACCAGCACATAACATATAATACAATACCAGAGTACAGTATTAAAGTCCTGAAATAACTGTATTATCTGGCCCAAGGTAAACAGAAAATAATAAAGCAAAAATCACTTGATTACAGTCACTGGCAAAAATTAGATCTTCAATCTATCAAATAAAATGAAATAAAATAAAATACTACCCAGAAGTATGCTATCTGGTACACAAGTACGTATTGCCATTGATAATAGTACCTTTTTTAATATAATCTTTCACAACATTTAATCACTGGTATTATTAATTGTAACAATAACAATGAAATAAACAATCAAATGAAAGAATGAATCCATCCGGCAATCAACCAATAAATATCTCTCAAAAATTTACAATCAGCAAAAAATGTAAGTGTTCAGGTCCAGTGTTTTGAATCTCATTTTGTCATCAGAGTTACAGGTAGATGCAAAACCAAAGTTCAGCAGGTAATAAGTGACCTTGCTACAGTTCATCCTTCACTGCAGGACCAGCAGGCATCTGTAACCTGCCCATAAACAACACAGCGCCCGATTTATTATCACGGATGAAAAACAAAAATGGGTGATCAGCAACAAAGGTTATGTTCCTTGGCCTTGCACTTCGCAACATGACTACTGCTGCTGTTGCTGCCGCCGCCTCTGTTCCTTCCTCGTTGACATCAATGAAAGCCTTATGATGCACCTGGGATAAAAACAACATTCTGGTACCATCCATTCCAGATAAATCAGCCACGCCTTCTGTGAACAAATCTGGCATTCCCATCTGGGACAGCTTTTCATGGAGGCGATACTCTTCTGTGAGCTTAAACTTGGGCAATTTTACCATTACCGTTTCTGGAAAGAGATCTCTGGTGGTGGTCTCTAGCAGGCTCGAAGTCATCTTGGATTCCAAGTCTTTCAGACCATCGATCTTGTCTGGGAGATAAATCAGCATGCTCAAGTCCTTTCCGACATATGGAATCTCTAGGATTTGACACTCTAGTTCCTCGCTATATCCAAGTGGAAATTTACTTTTTTGGTACATCACGTCAACTTGTATCTTATTTGTTGAGGTCAGCTGGAATGGTGCTTTCTGAGTTTGCTTTGGATCAAATTGACTGGCCCAGTTTCCCTTGAAATAAACTGCATTGACAAGCACCATGGCAACCAAAGAATTTATAGCGCCCTCTGGTAGCAGGTTTTTTATTTTCTCAGCTGTCTGCTCTTCCACCCACTGGTTGATTTCGAGACGTGCCTCTTCTGGTTTAGTAGCAAAATCCTTCTCTTCTAGTTCAGCCCCATAGAAAGATCTCGTCAGTGCCAGATAGTCCTGCAGGAAATTATATCCTTTCCGGGCATACAGCTTGTTGGCACACTCTAAGGTATAATTATCTTTCTTTCCAAACAACACTGAATTTAGGGTTTGAAAGGAGGCGTGAAGATCTTCCCCACTGTATTTGCCAAAGCGTAAGACTCTGTCCATTTGGAATTTGGTCTCATTACGACTGCCAGCATAAGTCATCGCCATGGCGCTAAGGATGCTGAAAGGTGATATAAAGATATTTGCATTGCTGGGAGCACCCTTAGAAAGCAGCTGATAAATGTCTGTTGCAAATTCATTGTTTATTCCAGCCAGAATGGAGAAGTCCGTGGATGGATCTTGTTGTTGTTGTGTTGCCATGGTTTTGTCTTGTCCTGTGTCTTTGGCTGCCCCCTGTTGGAGAATTCCCAGCTGGAATGTTAAGATAACTGAAATGAAAGAAAATATCATGCAAACAATTAAGTCAAAATTATTCCTTTTAAGATAAGTGAAAAAAAGTTTAATTATGTGTTGTTCATTTTAAACAAAATGTAAAATTAATAACCCTTATTCAGCATAAAACGTAGTGCTAGTGCTGTTTCTACTGTTATATGTGCCGAGAAAGTGAAACAACGGATATAGATTATAACCACCCTATTCTAACATACAATGATATGCATCATATGTAAAAAAATAGTTACAGGGTAAACACAATAGGTCACAATGCTAAGAGTAAGACCGCTGGGATAATTAAGTGAAGTAAGTTAAGTTGGCCTTGTTAGTAGTGATGATCGAGTGATAGCCTAAATTGGTACATGAATTTTCTTACACTTTTTAAATACAGGTACGGTACTACTTGTAACTACTAGTGGGACCCATGAATCTACCGTTAACATGCACAGGTTCGTGCACATGTGCTGGTGAAATACGCACACTGCGCCAGTAGTTTGATGATTTAAAACGTTTACACTGTACATGTACTGTATAGTAAATGCACGATGAGTGACAGAAAACATTCGAACGGTTGTTTAATTCGCATTCCAAGTGATTTTGCCATGCCACATGCTAAAATGTACTCTTACCCACTAACTTGACCACAATCATAGTTATATATTCTCCATATGTGAAACACTTGACCGCTGTTGTACTACTTACTGATTAGAAAATAACACTGACGTGTTCCTGCGCCTTTGGCTTTTTCTTGAACCCGGAAATCGAACATACGACTAATAGAGTTTATCGATGGCAAGTTATTATTCATTGCTAAAAACGAAAGAAATTGCGGTTGTTGCGATTGTTCTTTTGCACATCCAGGCCGGGCTATTACTTGTGGCGAAGAAGATAACCACAATTTCACAAGTCTCTACATCAAAAAAAAAAAAAAAAAAAAAAAATCAAATTGCAAGTTTTCATAGTGGGTGTTTAGAAAATTGCATCTTTTTTATGTCTTTGGATAAAAAGATAGAACCTGAGAAATCAAGAACCTGGAAGAGGTCTACTGTACCTATATTTTATGTGGAGTAGGCCTACCGGTGGGCCCTATGCCTATAGGCCTATATATACATGTATGTATACACGTAGGCCTACGTGCACCTGTACGGGTAGATACATCTAGGCAAGGCGCGCACGAGTATTTTCTGTTCATTTCCAGCTGAAAACAAAATTCATCAAACTGTGTGGAAAAGATGAAGAACATGTATTTTTTTCTTTTTTCAGACATAAATAGGCCTATGCGATGATAGCATATGGGTCTATCTTTAAATCGTATTTAGGCCAACTGCGGTTTTAATAGCAAACTTTGATTTATATAGGCCTATACTGTAAACCACACGTACCTATTGTATATAAATATAGGTCTAGTCATAACTATCGTAGGCCTACGCATGATTCAAAGATATGGACTTAAATTATAGAAACAGAAATGAGGTCGAGTTAAGGACAGTAGGCTAGGCCACAACAAAACAGTTCTTAAAGGACCCGCGCTTTCCCTGCATCGCGTCCAAGTCACACTATAAAAATAAATGGATGAATAATAATAATAATAATAATAATAGTAATAAAATAGTGCTAGGCCTACAACACCCACATGTGTTTATATGTTGTTAAAATCTAGCGGGCTAATCTGATTGAAAATATTAACCTTAAGGCCACACTTTTTTATTTTTATGGATGACATCCTGCGCGCGCACCGATTTTCGCCCGTTCTCCCCCCCCCAAAAAAAAAATCCCCCCCCCCCAGCCCCCAACGAAGTCGGTTGTCGCAAACGTCGTTATTGAATTTGCCAGGAAATGAGCTTTCTGCGCATGCGTGTTATCGCCACGTGGAAATGCAGCCGCTTTGCCGTCAAATTCATCTCTAGGATTACTTTCAAATTACACAACAATAAAAGTCATAAAGAGAACGGGCGCCGTCGTTTTGGATTGGTATGCCATTGATATTGGGCATGGAGATATCACCTTTTTTACAATTGTGCGAAAGGCTGGCGGCAGCCAGCAATTATCGCCCGAAAAATTTCTGTGACATTCTGTACAAAGCAGCACATACCAAGTTTTCTCTAGCGAAAAAAGGGTCGACAAGGGCGTCGAGGTATTCGGTGGGCTGAAGGTCGGACAGGCCACCTGACAGTTTGGCTGCTTCGTGTGAGTTGAAGTAGACAAAATGTCATCGTCCGAAATGACCTTTAATAGATTTGGTAGTATTAAGCATATCTTTGCATCGTTTTTTAAACATTTCTGTGAAGTGTTCAAAATGCTTTAATATTCTGAGAATACAAATAAAGACACACTGTTTGATTGATATTTGTTTTATTGATTGCTATACCAACTAAATGCATGAAATAACCTTAAATAGATTTGGTAATATGAAGTGTAGCTATTCATGACTTTTTTTTTACATTTCTACGAAGTATTCACAATGCTTTAATATTTTGAGAGCATGGATAAAGACATATTGACAGATTTTGGGGTACCCAGAGGATGTCATCCATAAAAATAAAAAAGTGTGGCCTAAATTGAAAAAAAAAATGAAATAAAGAACAAGAACAGATTGGGATGTAATCACATGTCCACGTGTAATGTATGTTTGTGTGTATAAACGTTGTCGTGCGTGTGTATATTTTTCTCTGTGCGTGCGTGTGTGCGTACATGTGTGTGCATGTGTGACAGTGCGTCCGTATGCGTGTGCGTGCGATAGCACGATATCTTTTAAAATACCTCACGTGCACTTAATACAAATTAATACAAACAAGAAAATCAAAAACTTGCCCCCGCGGTTTTACTGCCCCCTAGGACTGCATTTTTTATTATGTGGACTTTTTTCTCACTGTGCAGAGAATAACCGTGGCACTGATACAGAGGGTATGGTACGTTTTACAAGTGCTGCGATTCAGGCTCGCAAACAAACCCCCTTGTGTGCATTGTAAACTGCACTTGTACATAACCACTATCGGGTCATCTGAAGGTATAAGATAACCGAGGCCGCAGTAATGACAGGGCGACGCAGTCACATTTTTTTTACCTGTCAGGTGATAGTGAAAATATGCAGGATTGCTGCAGAGGTCACCATTCTTCCCCAGGTGAAACTCTATATCTGTTTTGTTACTATTTTGAACAGCGGCTATTGAGGCTACAAATTCCGGCCTTGATCTGTAGCGTGAAGGGATACAGTAAAAATGGAATGTGTTCACCTTGAATAACACTATGTGCGTGTGTGTGTGTGTGCGTGCGTGTGTGTACATGTGTCTGCGCTTGCATTCCTGCTTACTTTCTTGGTTGCTTGCTTGCTTGAGAGAGAGAAAGAGAGAGAGAGAAAAAAAGAGGGGGGAGAGAGAGAGATGGGGGGGGAGAGAGAGATAACACGAAGAAAAGTAAAAATAAATACCTAACACCTCGTACACCAAATGATATTAAACTAGTTTCAATGATCTATTATCACCATCGGTAGCTCGAGTATACAGAACTGTTACGAACAGTAACACACAGGGCGGGGTGTCGTTCATGATCTCACCTCTGTCACTGTCTGTGTTCTCATCATCAAAAGAGTAAATTAATAGCCGCGTTGTTAATGACAAGCTCAGCCAAGGTTAAAAAGATGTCAGGCAATCTTCACGTAACTATATTTCGTTTTCGCTGTATATCCCCCACCTGTCTAGCTGCAGGAGAAATAAAGAAATAATTGATATGATGAAGGGATTTCTCCGCCTTTTTATAAGATTTTACATTCACGGAAAGGGTTTGATTAATTCTATTCCAATTTGCTCAATATGACATTATATGTGTTTGTGAGGGGGGGGGGGGGGAGAGGGAGGTACATCCGAAGCTTAAAGGGGCGGGGCGCAGGGTGTGTGTAGCATGTGCCCGCAGTTACTCCTTCTGGGTCTACCGTAGATATTGCAAATGTTTGACTAAAAACGTACATAGGATATGGAATTATGAGCTGCTTTACAATGAGAGGCGGTCACAGGTCGTGAGATTAAGTAGTTCTATTGGGCGTTTTACAGTTGCAGCCTTGCAGGCAATTTTTCTGCATTAACCTTAATAAGGTAATGGACGACAAATGTTTTAACAGGGAATATCTATGAGAAATTGACTCATTCTGGCGTTTCGGTGTTTAAGATTTTGTTCGTGCAAGTTTATAGTTTGAAAAGTACAAATGTACAAACAATCACAAAACCAGGAGACGTTTATTTCGAAAATGCTTCATATTTGCGACGTATACCCTTTTGCTATAGTGGGGCTAATATTTGTGACTAAGGATATTTGAACTAAGTTAAAATTAGGGTCAATTGTTCTTCGTCACGCATCAGAACTCGAGTCGGTTTAAACGAGTTGATTAGAGAATTAAATAGCTGTATTTCAAGTTAGAGAAGAGCATTTTATCACCAGCCCAGGTGACTTGCTTCACACGGCACTCTAAGTAAAGGAAGTTCAAGATAAATGTATTCAATTGTCCACTTTTATTAAGTAAATACTCGGACGAGACATTGGGTACATGTATATCTTTTTTTGGTCATTAAAAATCAATTTTTCATTTAATTGTAATAGTATGAACTTTTTTTTATCGTGCTTCAAAGTAGGCTAAAATTTTGGTCAAAAAGTTAAGACAAATTATTGGACTTGACATTTTTTGGTGAAATGTTATTAGAGGTGTTCTCAGAGAGAGAATGTGCAACGTAAAGGAGTGTTTTCTGTTATGTTCTGAAAATCAACATCAACAAGATAAGTTTTTTAGTGAAGTGGTGAACTTGGAGGTAGATATTCCTCTAATCCAGAATGTATTGAGAGGAAGTGATAGAAAGCTAGTTGCTTCTAAACGCATTTCATCTTAAAACACATGCACGCTTCAGCGCCTCAAACGTGAAGCCGTGCCGTAGCATATTTCAGCTACCTGTAGTTAATCTCTGTTTATTCATCTCTCTCTCTCTCTCTGTGTGTGTCTCTCTAACACACACACACACACACACACACACACAGACGCACACACAGACGCACGCACAATCACAGATATGCATGTACCGGTATATACACACAGTGGCGATGAACTAAACCACGACTGCTTAATGCTCTGGAAATAAATCACCTTTGCGTCTCTACCTCTGCTTCCTTAACATGTCCACAATACTCGGCCACTGTCCACTGGCCACCAAAAACCGGACGCGACACCCGATACCTGCAATTTAATTTAAAGAAGAGCCTGTATAAAATGTAATTCCTGGGTTTAAAAGGCGCGAGATATTGGGTTGCAGTTCACAAAGTCGTTCATTTGAAATAAGCGTTTAGCAATAAACTGGCCACGTGAAAAAAGGGACTTAAACTTTAGTCTGTCATTGGGACTACAGCAAGCGGGCCACATAGACGTGTCAAAAGGTAAGACCGGAGACTTTAACTGTAATGTAGCTGATAAATATACTGTATTAGTTAATTGGATTAACGACTCTACAAATTAGCACATTTTTACCCTTGGCTGTATGTGACTTGGGTGTTCGCTTCGAAAATTTAAACGCAGAAGATGACTTTTAGATGGAGAGTATATACCTTGACACAATTACAAAAATAAATCATGATCAGCCCCGTTTTAATGAAATGTACTAGATCGTTCTTCGGCTTGGGAGCAGTCGAATTTCCGCCAATCATCAAATTTAATATGAGTTTTAACTATAACAAGTAGGCGATCGTTTTTATCATCACGCCAGTCTCTTTTTTAAACTCAAAATTGACATCACAATTTGTATTGCACTTGCACAAATTATTTTCAGAATATATCATCAGTATATTACAAGATTTAATGTCTGAAAATGTCTGAATACTGGGGGGGGGTGACAAATAGCCGGGTGCTTAACGAAGTAAAACCGAAGAACTCGGCGTAAAATAAAATATACGGGAGTTTTAGATTTTTACAAACAAATTTCCCAAATCGCACTATTGAAAAAAAAACATATGATGCATGCTGTATCATTTTTGTTCGACTGCCGTTGCATAATTGAGAAATACTTGTTATACTACTCGTACGATGTAATTTATGACAATGTGTATCAAATTGTAAAATCAGTCGATAAGAGATAGGGAGGGCGATTGTGGTTTATTGCGTAATCCTGTCCTCACGTCTATAACTTCAAGTTGTTTTGTTATCCTTATTTCCATTTATTATTTTACATGACTATTGTTAATGTTATCTATTTATTACTGATACTTATGAATTGATTAAGTCATTAATTATTAACTAATTTAATCAGGGTAAATTCCAAGTTTTAAGTTTACCAAACGCAATTAAATAATCGAAGCTTTCCGCCTGTTAATAAAAATCAACTACAATAATGAATGCATAACCTGTTTATATGGCCCCAATGCGTATCTGTTACCATGACAACAAATCATAGCGAAGCCGATTCTAAAAGGCACAGGTAGGTCGTAAAAGAAGGAATCGAACAATATAGTAATACGCATTTATCATAGTCAAACAAGGTGGCTCATTGCATAGCTTTATCGTGTACACCTGAACCGTTATGTAATAATTAAGATTCTTAAAGACGGTGTTTGTTATAATATCGCCTTACAGCATTTGCATTGTGTGTTGCCCAATTTGAAGAAAAAGGGAGTGAAGACCAGACAGATGACATTGTGAAGTATTGATTTAGTACAAACAAACGTTATATGGGTAATTGTTTGCTCAAAACAGTGGTAGGAGAGAGAGAGAGAGAGAGAGAGAGAGAGAGAGAGAGAGAGAGAGAGAGGAAGTCTACTTGTAAAAGCAATTTGAATTGATTTATTAAAATACAGACAATACCTTCAGTTTAAACTAAGACCTAATATATCCGTTTATTAGATCTTAGGTTTAAATGATCGGTTTTTGGTTCCATTCGAAAAAAGCTTCGTCCCATGACAACATTAACATAAATGATGGTCAAGACGGTACTCATACAAAGACCCGACGTGGTTTTGTCTTTGAGATTTCCACCCTACAATGTATTGTTTACTGCAGTCACAATGAAGGCACATTTTCAAGTAAGAAGTCACCGCATGTCATACCGGTAGAGAAAGGAAAGAGAAAAACTCTGATAGATCCGATCATCGGGAATTTTTATAGTCTGAATCCGGAGATCGGGAGTGGTGACAGGTTTGTGATTATTAAAAAAATTGTTCAGCCATATCGTAAAATCTCCATCACTCACCCGCATCTTGCATATATGCTTGTTAAATAAACGGATTAATTATTTGCATCGATGTGGATGAAATGACAGAAATAATAAACACGATGTTATAAATTATTAATGAGAAATACGCGTTTCTACAGCAATTTATTCATATGCAGGACGTAAAACACATATACAGTAGTAGTGGAGAATTCTGGACTAGAAATAGAAACAGAAATAATAATAATAATAATAATAATAATAATAATAAACTTGTGGAATTAATTTTCATCAACTGTCTCGTTGTCTAATAAATATAACGGAGAGCGCATAATTCCAAAATGGATATGGATATCCCAGAATAACATAAAAATACTTGACAAGTAATGGTAGAACATGTAATCATAAATATGATTGCTATCGTACCACTGAATACTGGTGTCGCCTATCCACGTAGAAAATCGATATTATTGCCCTTCACGTGGAGACAGGTGTAGACAATTTGTGGCAGACAATACTGGTAGATTATTTCTTCCTCAGAGTTCATCTCGCGAAAACCCTTCAAAAGCATGCAACCTTCTACACAGAGGTCAGCACCTGTCACCAATAGAAGTACGCCTTAATTTGTTCCATTCACCACACAATTGTGTAATAATCAGCATTATAGTTTGACAGTAGTTTAGAGAGCCTATAAATGTAAACTCATTTAATGCTCAACTAACTGTTATTACCATCATCATTAATACTTATAGGAATAAACGCCTCAATGCACGTTGACGATTTGTCCAACTGAAGAAAGCGCACACTACTGCCTATGAAGTATTATTTGTTACATGGATTTGCAGCCATATTTCTATGGCAACTGTAGACTCCCTACTTATAGGTGCACCAGGTGTAATCCCAAATAATGCGAAGTGGTGTTAAATTTTTAGCAGTAGGCTGTTGATTTCGTGCTGAGACTAGGTTGGCTGAGGGCGGGGAGGGGGGGACTTCACCCAAGTCGCCGACCAGCTTTTGAAAAAAATTTAAAAAAAAGAAAGAAAACGACTTTCGTCTCTTCCTGAAGGGGCAGCAAAACCCACTTATCGAAATATAAATACTTCAGGGTGGGGATGCTGGAAATTCTCCCCATCGTACTCGAGGCCTTAGTTCTCAAGTGCTACCACACTTAACACTAAACAGTCGATGCCCTATCTGATTTGATGCATCAGACAGGGAAACAAGGCCGTAGTTGAAATATTGATTGCAGTGTCACACCATGCAGATTTCTGCAGCAACTGTCACAGTGACTGTACACAGACTTAGATCTACCAGCAGAATTTGCTTGTAAATATACTGTGCATGCGTGTTACTGAGACTTATAATATTATTAACCTGGATAACGTGAGCGAGCTTTATACAGTGAAATCGCGACAGAGGATTTGCGCCATTCCAGGTAAGACGATTTTGCTTTATGGAGAATGGATGTTGATAATAAGAGAAACATGAACCCAGTGGCTCCTGGTGCAAGTTAAGTCACATACACGTACAGTAGTATACGCATATGTAAGTGTAAATGTATATATCCTGTAGACACCACGCCTTATGTGCGTCGACGGTTGTATTCAAAGCCCCCCCCCTTTGCAAATCATTTCTACATAACTGTCGTATTGAGACAATAGGAAGAGAAGATGCTACGTCTATCATATTACAGAAATATATATCATCTCCTTTTCCTGGAGTTTTATCCGTTATCAAACATTGCCTTGAATCAAATAGCCTGGCTTTGATAGTTTTGTGCGTAAAAGAAATTTCGATAGCTAGCATTTATTGTTTGAAATGCTGGTTTTTACTTAATACGCAATATTGAAAACTGTCAATATGCACCAGTATAACTGAGATATATGAAGTGGAGACTAACAGATTGTATTCTGAGTAATTCAACGCTGACGTACAGTGATTCCATTAGGGCAGTAATACAACAGCTTATTTGAAAACACGGTCAATAATGCATTAGATTTGGTGAAAGATAATGGAGATATAGCTGTGGACTCAAGGCCAAGGCGGATCAAATATACTTCGATTAGATGGTAATATGCAAGCAATTTCGGGGCATCCTCGTACGCGTTCTCCCCCCCCCCCCCCCTCCACATCACTATCTTTCAGTGGAAGGGTTAGATTCGATCCGTTTTTGTCAAAGTGTATTCAGTATATAGAGATGCACACTTCTCAAGAGACTTCAACGAAAACTCATTAGGCGCGAGCTCGCGTGTGAATGTGTGCGTGCGTGCGTGGGTGGATGCGTGATTACGAAGAGTTGCTACATGTATCCTTTTGATACTTAAAGCTTATCGTGAACTGACGCGCCCCGTGTTCTCCGATTAAACTTAAAGCTGGCCTTGTTATACCGGCTGATGTATATACAACATTAATGGTGTCACGCGGCAGTGAGAAATAACTTGTACTCCAGTTAACCTGGAACCCGCTTCACAAAACGACTTTAGACCGAAAGTGGACTAAAATCTTAGGCCAAAATTGTGGTCTTTTAAGTCAGTGTTCTTAAAAAGAAAATTGGGCTGGGACAACATTCACATGAAGTGAACGCTACAGATGCGTAAATCTCAGATTCCAGATCTGCAGTTTAAGACGCTACGTCGATAGTACACATTAAAATCCCAGTGACAAAAAATCGCGTCTGTAGTTATTCATAGGTACATGTACCTTCGAAAAAGACATTTAGGAGAAAGAGGAGTGACACATAGTTACCCTAGCCTAAGGTTAACTGGTGACAGTCAGCGACAACCTTTCCATGCTGGCTACAGACCAATACAGGGTTTACACAATACTAAAAATTCATGGTGCGCACTTGGGTCGCGTTAAATCACAATTCTGCCCAATGCCATTTTGCTGATTTTATGATTTATTTCATCAGTGCAGAATTTCTGTGCTTGATAATGCAATAAAATCCAATATCTGTTGAACAAAAGTTATGCGAGCCTGGAGCGATCCTTGGGCAGCTCCAAGCACTCTGTGTAAATGTCGCACACACTTACAGCAACACAGAACACTGTGTACTAGTAAACAGCAGGCAGCACTTGGGCTTTAGTTAGCAAACTTGACAGACCGACCACGCAATTATGTGGCATACAACGCCTTGTGTTTAACGCATCAAATCTGAAGGAAGGAAAAATCAGTGGTTTTCATATTCACCAAAAATCCATCGCCAACTACAAGACTTTCCTTCATCTGAGGCTGTTCCTGAAAAGGATGAACCTAAAGTCTGACGGTAAAATCAGGTAAACTCATGTTTTAGGACAAAATGAAGTAGCGTAATTTTTGCGAGCACCCCAAGTATCAGGGTTAACCAGATACATGTAGTATACCCAGTATTACAAGTTTTTTTTTTTTTTTAGTAAATGGCAGCAGAGGTTGGTTTCCTGTAAACTAAGGGCACTTGCAAATACGCTTTTGCTTCATTCTGCGAGAAATGTAGTTGCCTAAATTGGAATGAAAATTATAAGAAAGACGACAGGGATTTCTCAGCGATCTATGTTTTAATTAAGTGAAGACGCAGTGTAGCAGTCATTCATTCCGACGGCCTTTAGTTCGAAAACTCTGGTTATTCGTTCTTGCTCTCGTTACCAGCGATGCCTTAATACACCCATCAGCTAAGCGATGTTATTGATATTAAACGACTTGTATACGAATAACATGTACCATTCAGAAGTCTGAGTGGGAAGGCTGGGCAACATTAAGTAAGTGCAGTTTGTGTAAGTAAAAAAAATTCACGCCCGTTTTCTTGCAGTTTCATTAACCATAACTCAAATCTGTTTGATTGTTTATGCCGACCAGAGAGAAAATACAATAGGAAGACAGATACATACATCTGATTCCGTGATTTTCTAAAAAAAGGTGTGTGTGTGTGTGTGTGTGTGGGGGGGGGGGGGGGGGGGGCGGGCGGGGTGGAAAATTTCTTTT